TAACAAATAGCTCATGGGTGAAAAATAAATAATCTAAAAGTAAGTTATATAATACCAATGCTAGTGAAATAAATGGTAAAGAAAGGAAAATATTCAAATCTCATTTATACTTTATACATAGAATCCAAACTGTATAGGTTCACCCCCTCAATGGTACATGAAATTGTTTGCAATCAAACCAAACTGATAGTACTAATATAGAAATCTCAAGTAACTGTATAGGTTCACTACTTATTTTTACTTTATTTGGTAACCAGAAAAGGTGTTGCAACATACGTGTAAAAACGCCAAAAGAAGTTTCGATCCTAGGCATAAGCTAAACTGGGACATATCCAAATAATTCCACCTCTTTTCAATCATTACCATTTCCGAATAAGGTAAACACAACTATAAATTAAACAATGATATTTATTAATCCTCAAAGAAATTTGAAAATACAACCCGAATTAACCATATCTGCAACTTCTTGTTTTATCTTCTGTGACCGACCATCCTTCTCTTGTTTAGCAGACAGATAACCCCAGATTAGCCATGATTTTAAAGTTTATCTGAGAGAAAACTAATTGGATTAGCACGAACTTGTAAATGAATCACATGTTATAAAAGTAGCATCAAATACATAATCTGACATGTCAGGTATGACATTACTGTGGAAAAATACCTTTAGTGTCTTAAGCTGCATTAAGCAGCCAACAATACTCATCAAACGATTGGTCACATCCGTTGGAATTTTTCTATAGCCGGCTTGCTGCAGCCATCCAGGCAAATAGAAATTTAATTCCCACAAAAAGATACAGCCTAATGGAAGTAAAAACCTATTGGGTCGTTAAGTGTAGGCTTGGCAGACAGATATGAACAATTAGGATTTTATAAGCTCCTAAGTACCGCCAATCTAGCAACTTTATCCAGTTTCTGATTTATATCATGTGGCAATCTTCTTTTCACGGTCAGTGAAGAATTATCAAGATCTTGGACCTCTGTCGAAAGTGGTCTAGCTGTTGGGTTCAGATTTATATTTGAAGTAAATAATCATTGCAAGAAATGTGGAATAAAGGAAAGAAAATAATAACAATATTAGAGTTAGTGCAATACATTCTGCAACTATTTTTTCCAACTCCCCGATGGCCTTCTCGAGCAATGAGATTCTTAACCAAACGTTAGATCCTTCTTTTCTTGGCTTGACATGAAACTTCTGGAAATAAAGTATGACAACTTTATGCAGAACAGTAAGGAAAATGTATAGGAATAGGCAAAAGATAACTATTATGCTAATATTAATACAATATGAGGTACAAATTAACAGCTAAGACGGACAAAAGAGGTACAAACATTATGCTAGTAATCAATTTTAGTTGCTCATCCAATATAACACAAAAGATTCAAAGACACTCATCCAGTAACGCAATTCGTACCTTCAATTGTACTTTAGGATGAACCTCTTAAGATTACGCTAGAAAATCATAAATGCTCTCCATTACGACGTCTTTATATGTGAGCAAGGAGAAAACAAGTTTGGTCATGTAGTAGCAGCAAACTGTACAACATCAACATGCAAATTGCATTGACAGCAGTTTAGAGAATCTGTAATTGGTTCATTGTGCACTTTAAAAGCTGAAGCACATGCGAAGCCTACATAAGTTAAAAAAAAAAAGAATGAACACCACAAAATAGCACCACTTAAATTGTACATGAAGAAGCGAAGTTTGGTAAAGCGAAATTGGCAGGTAAACACAGAGTGAACAGAATAATATTGAGTATAGAAAATTGAATACAGTTAAGGAAATTATTTTTTTTAATTGGCAACTATTACCATCAAAGCGCACAAAAGTCTTGAAGAACAACACAACAACAATGTGCACACTTACATCATACATATTGATACTGTGCAATTCCAAAAATGGCATGTAAAAATGCTCATGCTACAAGCTGCTATTTGCAGCCTGAAGAACCTCCCTATACACTATGTTTTCGGTGAAATTAACCAGATTGACATCACCAAAAGGAGGCTTTATAAGCATCTTAACTGACGTATTTTTTTTTTTTTTTTTGCTCGGGACAAAGCAACATAGAGTTGCCCATGCGAAAAAACTGGTTCTCTCAAATAGATACCAACATGGTCTAACGTTTGGCCTTGGGCTTTATTTATGGTCATTGCAAAGCAAAGCCTGAGCGGGAATTGTTTACGTATATATGGGACAGGGTATTGGTCATCTTCAGTTGGCTCAAAAGGGATTCTATGTATGAAGACATCCTTTTCTGAAAAATCCCCAACTGCTATCTGTGCATGTATGACATTTTTGTCCATTTTCTTATACAATAACTGTGTACCATTACAGAGGCCTTCAGTAGGATCTAAATTGCGAAGCAAAATTACAGGCGTATTAACTTTAAGCTGAAGCCTATGTTCTGGCATACCACTTGGTGTCAGTGAAGTTATCAGGTCAGTATATTCTGCTGCATGTGTCGGATTAACGACCTCATCAAAGCTGAGGTATTCGACTAACACGCCAGGAAAAGCTGCTATGAGTTTGCTGTTGACTTCGTCCACAAATACATTTTTTGTCGTCAAAATTGCTCGATTTACTGTTAAATTACTGTTACCGATGTTGATTATATCAGGATAAACTGTGTTAATGAAGTCATCTAATGAGGATTCATGCAATGGATCAGCCAGTGCATCCACATGCAGGTATCTTTATTAAATCATCGCCATAAGTTTTTTCCTCGCCATTACCAACCCTTAATAAAAAAGCAGTATAAAGAGGATCGAAGCGTGCGCGCATGTTTTCCACAAGGCGAAGCTTCTCCAAAGATGGCCATAAATCAGAACTAATAATGCACGCACCAACAGTATCTTTTCTATTCCCCCGCCTAACAACAGGTAACACTTGCCTAAAATCACCCCCAAACACTATAACCTTCCCACCGAAAATATCCTCACAACCACACAAATCTTGCAAAGCTTTATCAAGTGCTTCAATGGCATCCTTTTTTGCCATGGGCGCCTCATCCCAAACTATGAGCTTGCTCTCTCTAATCAAACAACCTAAGTTGCTCTGCTTACTTATCTTGTACGTACGTGAACTCGACAAATCAATGGGTATTTCAAATCTAGAATGAGTTGTCCTGCCACCAGGCAATACGGATGCAGCGATTCCAGACGTCGCAGTTGCAAGAGCTATATGACCTCTAGAACGAATGGTCGCCAATAAAGCTCTGTAAAGAAATGATTTCCCGGTTCCACCAGGGTCATCAATAAAAAAGGCGCCTCTTTGTTTCCCATTAATGCGAGCCATTATTGTATCATACGCTTTCTTTTGTTCTTTGTTAAGCATAGAAATGGTATTAAGCTCTTCCTCAAACACTATAATGTTTCTCTCTACATTAACTTCTCTAGTGTAACATTCACATGAAAGTTCAGTATTTTCAGGCATAAGGTTAAAGGCTCGCAAACTTGTACCCATGGATTCAAGGAAGCCGTTAATCTCAAACAAGACTTGGTTACGTACCTCTTCTGTAGATAGTTCACTATTTGCATTAACATCTTCGGAAAGAGCACGCTCAAACTTCAATCACAATGCCTTAGGATTAGTGGGTCCCGAGTACACCAACAAATTAGCAAACAAATGCCGCAGCTCATAAGGCATTTGATACTTAGATGCTTCCTGTAAGCACATCTCTTGACTATTGTCAGCTTCAAGCAACCCACGCATGAGCGCCGCTTCTCTAAAACTTGCAACTGTTTTCCTGTTAAAACATTTCAAATCATCAAATGACTTAGGACAACGCACTTTAGCTAATAGAGTCCGTAGATAATATCGCTCTCCCTCACTAACATGCACAGAAACCAAACGCCCAATCGATTCTTGCACTGCTCTTTTTTTCAATGTTTTTCCTCAGCTAACCAAACAAATTATTTGAGGAATTCAAGATACGCCAGGTTTAAAGCCTGTGCATACTCGTCAACATGATTCATGTAAAAAAAATTTAGTTAACATACTTTTTCTATTCCTAGGGTTATTAACAAGGCTCTGCAATCTATCCTTTTTCCTAAACGAAATTCACTGGTAATTCTCCAGGTGTATCTGTAAATTTATGACAGCCGGTTTGATTTCACCCAGCGAGAATTTAAAAATACGCCATGCAGCTTCTGGTGGAGACACCCACCGTGCAGTCCTATATTGGTGTATTTCATCAATTTCCCTAACGGGGTCCCTAGCATCAATGTGAAATGCAATTCTATCATGGCCCTTGCAAATGTATTTATAAATATATTTAACTGCATGTATTGTAGAGCACACCTCAACATTAATGTGGCAGTTAAATTTTGCCAAAAGGTATGGGTTATATGGAATTACCCATCTATTGTCTAATTGAAGACCCCTAACCCTTACACAAACATTATTGTCCCTTCGTCTGTACCTAGGATATGCATCATTAACGTGTGTAGTCTCATCACAAAATTCTTTTAGGAAAAAGTTTTTACACGTTTTTTTTCATACACGAGTTTTCTGGGTTCATCTCACCACAAGGGTCATGCAACATATGCTTTACCATAAGACTAAACAAATGTGGGTTTTTTCCTTTGTCTGGAATTTCAGCGCTAATAATTTTGTCATATTCAACAGTCGTGTACATTTTAAAATGCAGGTACAAAATTAGGAGGAAGTTCGCATGGGGCAAACCTCTTTTTTGAAATTCAATGGTATATGTGTACGTCACAACCTCATCAAGCAAGTGATTTTTAAACAGGTCTTTCTTTAATTCCTTTAGTTTTGCCTTAAAAACCCTCGATATAAGATCAGGCCTATTGTGGGATTCACCAACCGTATGCAAGAATGCCTTGATTTCTGGCCAATTTGGATTACACGTCATTGTAAGAAAAATATCAGGCCTTCCAAATTTTTGAACCAATGTCATTGCATCCATGTATCTTTTTTTCATGTTTCTTAGGCCACCAATAAAACCAGAAGGTAGGTAAATTCGTTGTCCTATCATACCTGCATCTGTTTCACCAGCAGCCAAAGAATCTTGAACTCCTTGGAGGACCTCATTCCTTATTTCTATTTGTTGCGTCTTATAAAAATCCAATCTTTGTGTTTCTATTTTAACATAAATGTCAACTATATATTGCTGAAACAACCTTCCAAAGTGTAACAAAAAAGAATCATCACAATTACGCCCCTGCAGCTTATAACAATAATATTCCCTTGCAGACACAAAGCGTTGGTCGTCGACTTTTGCAGAGGCAGCTGAGGACGCAAAAAAATCACAGATGAGTGAACACATATGTTTAAGGTAAGTACAACATACTTTATAGAAAAGATCACACTAACCAGTCTCTTCACGAAACAACAAGTCATCAGCATTCATTGCACCAGCCGGAGCAACTGAACGAACAGAGGCACATCGTTGGTTCGGCCTTGCGGGACTCCTCACACCTATTTTTGCTATCCTCTGATGCCACCCCACCTGACCAAAAGGAAAAAGAAGAGGGTATTGTAAGGGATCATAACAACCATAATAGTATTGAACGCTATGCGAGCCTCCTGCCACACTGCTATCACGAATGTCCCTATGGCTCGGCTCCTCATTGTCCTGACCATCAACTATTAACACAGTAACCTCGCGTTCATTGGGCTGATTATACACCCTCTGATCTAAACCAGGCACAGAACGCAGCACAATTTGACAATTATCCAAGTTTGTCATTTTTTTAGGCCACGAAAGAACATTGCGTAAGGATTGCTTTCTAACACTTTCAATATCTTAACAGCCATACTTTCATTCAATTTTGAGCATGCTTGAAGTCTATTAGCAACTTCATGTTCAGTGTCATAAGAGTAAAGTTGGAGATTTTTCAAAGATTCCAAATCATTAATAAAATGGTACATTTGCCCCTGAATTCTAAATGTGTAGATGCCTTTGATGCGCTTGCTAAGTTCTTTATCATATTTAACTCCCAAAGACGTAAACGCAAATTGATTGTTTATTTTTCTTATACAATCCCTGAAAAGTCTACCCTCACACGTCTGTGAAAACAAAAGTTCTTTTAAAATTAGAGGAAGCGAATGAGACGCCAACCTGATCCTACCTTCGCCACATCAAAATTTTGGCGGTTCGAACTGTAATCTTGCAGCACCACAATGAGCACAGTCACTCCGTGCCCGTAAAGTCGCAGCAAACGAAGGTAAGTTAAGAAGCCTATCGCGTCCATCTTTATATCCACGTGCTACATACAAAGAGATTGTCCATCAAAATAATCCAGTAATTGGTAAAAACAGAGAAAACTACTGTACAGAGCAAAGACCGAGCAGGTAACCTGGGGCGCGAGCACGCCCTGCCCTACGTGGCCGACCTGCAGAAAAGCATAGGAACACACACTAACAAATGTACAATCTACACACAAAAAAAAAAAAAAAAAAAAAACCATATAAAAGAAAATTTAAAATCCAACACCAATAGCACCTACCTGGAGAATCGACCGAACCAACATTGCCTGGCAAAGGCAGGGCACCAAAACCTACAGCGAAACCACAAAAACACTCATCACATGATGAAGCGAACCATGGGAATACAGATGCGACATCATTTATTGTAACAACAGACAAAAGACCAAAAAAAAACAGCACACTTTCTTTAACGTATAATGGCACACCTGATAGTTGCTGTGCTTGAAGAGAAGTACCGTTAGGCACCAAGACCGGTTGAATGATAGCTGGCAAGTTGTCGTAGTTTAAGTTTCGTTCCCCTGGTGCATAAGTACCGGAAATTGACGAAGTGGACTGAGCTACCCGCAGTTTTTTGGCCCTCCAATTATTAAGAGAATACTGTCGTTTGTTTGTACCTAACCCAGAACCTTCGCTACCTCCTGATTGAAGCACAACTTCCATAATGTGTCTGCAAATTACACATACAAAATCCTTAGGCTCGCCAACATGATGCACCCCCAATAAAAATACACTCAATTTGAAACGGATAACCCAATTTTTTTTCTCTGTAAACGCAGCACAACACAAAAACATATGCATAAATATCCTTACTCTTCTTATTAAGGAAAATAAAACCTATTATTCATAAAATACTTTATCACCTCTGCCTTTGGTTGCTTAAACATTTTACAAAACTAACAATAAAACGAAAAATTAAATCCGTAGCCAAAGTAATAAGAGAAGAAATGAATTAACTACAAACCGAGAAGAGAATGAAGTAAACCGACCGATGAACACCCTTACATGGAAGTACTGAATGTAAAAAAGAAAATTAACTATGTGAATCCAGAAATAAGAATGAAGCTACAGATGATATGCATTGCATTAGATGAAACAAAACGGAGTTAAACTTGATTCTGTGTAATAAATCAAACAAATATAATTAAATTTGATTTTGAGTAATAAATCCAACAAAGCCGAGAATCCATTACTATTGACTACACGTATAAGGTAAACAGAAAAATTATCGCGCCAAGAATAGGACCCTAAATAATTTTCCTAATAATTTTCAGAAAAACAAACACAAATAAAACCTGCCCAGAACATCGGATCACAACCTTCTCAAATAGTTGGCTGTCGAACAGCTAGACAATAAGAAAATAAATGCATATAGGAAGCCAAACGACCGCATTCAACCAACAAATATAAACATACCAGAAATCAATGAACGCGAAGACTTGATTTCGGTTTCTCAGTAGTAAAACCAACAACATTTTAAAAAATTTCTCTACTTTTATTTTTATTGTTGAGGTAGGGTCTGCTGAGAGGGGAGAATTGGGGGGTGGGGGAGGGGAATTGGTGACACCCGCTTGAAGTTTGTGGTTTTCGCCGCTCACGAGCGCGGTCCGCCGATCTCTGTGTCGGAACAATTTTTGGGTCTGTCAATCAAAGGAGGAATGAAGGCAGAAATGTACAGTGAAAAGGATTTGGGTTTGTGAATGAATCTGAGAAAGAGAGGCGTACGTATGGAGCAAAACTTTGATCATCCAATTTATATAGCCTCTGAAAAAATCTTCAAAACAACACCGAAAGAATGGCGATTAGTCTCACCATATTTTCAACTACCTACTACAGAAGTCTTTGAAATTGAATGGGAAAAGTGTCGACAGATAAATTAAAAACACTGCACTGGTGAAGAGGTAAAAAAGCGTGAAGAAAGGGATAATAAACTAAAAAATTTGTGTTATGAATCTTTAAAATTATTAAAGGAATATTTGACAAAAATATACAGAAAGTAAATGAAAGCATAATAAGAGAAAGCACCTACGTTGAATTATGAAAATATTAGAAATTATAGTACATGAGAAACAGTTGTCTAGGCACACGAGCCATATTGAAAG